GTCTCTTAGTTGGCACTTACTCAAGATAAAAGCAGAGCTCAGTCCTGGAAAATAATAATAATCTAAAACATATTTGCTTTCCCAGTTCATCACCCAATTCCATGTAGCACAGAGCAGGGAAATGTTCAATCGGCATAATAACAATTCAGATTACATATTGCTTTTCCCTGTACAACAAGGGTGGAGAACAGTGCTTTCACTTGTGTGCCAACACAGGACTGACCTCCCTGCTGTTTCCAACTTCCATCAACTCAAGCCAGCATGATGGAGGGTAGAAGTTGGAGTTCAACAACATCTGGAGGGTCACAACTTCCTTATCCTGGCTCTTCAGTTCCCTGTTACCAGTGCCAGACCTTAGAGTCTCAAATTTCAGCAGCACCCTGTGCAATGGCAAAATTTGGCGCCCCCCACCTCTTGCCTTCATAGTTGTGACACCCCAAGGCTCTGCACCCAGTGCTACTGAACCAGTCATGCTCCCCTAAATCTGCCTCTGCTGTTACCTTAGAATAAATCTTCATGCATCTGATGAAGTGGGTCACAAAAGCTTATGCCAGCATAATAATAAATTAATCTATTTTAGGATTTGTAATGTTCACACAGGCTGAACAAAAAATGAAACAAATTAAGGACATAGATACAAATTAAGGACCTACTAGAGATCACTTAGATGTCTTCTAGGTGACAGCTTGAAAAATTTCCTTGGAAATTTGGGGCATGGATGCTTCTTCCTATACCATTAATCAATAGGTATTTGAGAAGTCTCACTTGCCTCTACTGAGAAAAATTAAATACTCTCTAAGCAGTGAGACTCACAATACAGGAGAATATTGTTTCAAAAAGAACAGCAGTTTGCTTTCTGATTAGACTAATTATCAATTAATGACCTTCATGCTTGTCCCATGATTAGATTGGGAAATAGAGTCAAGTGATTTCTATGTAATATCGAAATCTGCTGTGTATTGTTTTGCTTGTAGATGTTACTGCCATACAGTACTGGATTCATGCAATACTCACACATTTGACTCAAGTGATGCATTATTTACAGAATACATTTATGCATTATTTGCAAAAACTTACAGGTTTGCAAATCTGGGCCTGTCTCCTTTTCCTGCTGAAGTGCTTTGCCGGTGTGCACATTACTGTCAAAAAGCTCAGAAGGATATTACTGTGCTCTAGCTGCACAGGCAAGAATGACAGACCTTCTTGAATAGGGCTGGGGAAACAATATGAGAACCTGGGCAAACTCCCTCACACCACATTTTATTATGATGTGTATCTTCTTGTATGAGAAGCACCGGGTGTTACAAGCATATCCTAGGAGCCCTCTTCCTTCCCACTTTTCCTGACAATAAATCCCAGTTGTGAACGCACATCAAGATATTTGAATAGAATAGCCTTTGGCTATGCACATGTCCTCATGAGGGAATGCAACAAGCTAGCTCATATGGAGATAGTTTCCAAGAGTGTATTCTGAAAACTGATGAAATAAAATGATACAGGTGATACAAAAGGAGAAAGTCAAATATGTAGTCTTGGTGAATAGCAGGAGGCTGATCACTGTGAGCCATAGAGATGGAAAACATGCAACTGAATCATTTTACTGGTTGGCAGCTGTGAGAATAGGACTCTGGACTAGATGGGCTTTTGGGCTGATCCATTAGGGCTCTTCTTATGTTCTTAAGTACATGCCCCTAATCGAAATGCTTGCAATGTTAACCAAATGAAATGCATAAATGGATGGATGACAGAGTTGGAGCCAGAAGAGGTTCTTCGAAGGAGAACATTACTTCCATTGATGGAGAATGCTCCTCCATATCTGATTTGTGGTTGTTTCTAATAGTAAGGAGTAACAATAAATTCCTATTTGTACGCCTATAGGCATAACACAATCCCAGTGCAGCTTTAACTGGTGTGGAGCAGAAAACAAATAGACCTTTAACTAGCAGTGCACATGGAGCCTTACACTTGTTCTCATAAAATGCCATTTAAAAAAAGAACACAAAACCAACAGAGTTTTTATCCGGCGTCATGAGGCCATAACCCTGTTCTTCTGAAGAATATTGTCGAGAGCTCTGGCACAGATATCATCAGCACTAATCTATTTTCATTTCCAGATTTATCAAGGCAAGGCTAAATAGGTATTAACTGCTTTCCCATCAAAGAAGAGCTGCACTGAAGAACTGAAATGAGCAACTTCAAGGAGATAATTTAGCACCAGATCAAAGCCCTTTAGGGAAATATTTACATTTTTTTCCAGTTTACTCAGAGAAACTGCTCTGAGGATCCGCAGATATCCACTGTGATATTTTTTTAACTGACAGAAACGTTGATGCCAGAACTCAAGGTAGTGATTTAATCATAGGGCAGTGCAGCCTCCAGCAACCCAGTCTTGAAAAAATAATCAATAGGTACCTTCTCAGCTGTATTAGAGAGATTTTATTTTACTTCTTCACTTGTCCAAGTTATTAATTTGGATATGTTTTATAGCCTACTTTTTATATATAATACTGGATAGTCTTAAAGAACGTTGAGCTAATTTATGCTGGAAATCCTTTTCATGCCTGGATTTCCCTGTTATCATTATTGATTGACCTACAAGAAGGCCTTTCCTCATGCAATGAGGCACTTAGCAGACTTCCAAACTACATGTGCAGAAGGCTTGTCATACTATAGCCACCGCCTGAACATTGTCCCCAAAGAGAAGGGCGCAGCAGCACACTTTAATGGCACAAATTATATAACAGCTTTCTGGAAAGTGAGTTAAGAAAAAACAGAACAGATGAGTCACTGGTATCTCTCTTGCTCAGAATACTGTAGCAGATCCACTAAGATCAGAATATTAGAGTAAGCACTGTTCAAGCACATTAATCCATTTATGAGTGTTATATAAAAGAGCCCTCTCCCCACTACCAAAATAAAGGCTCTTAAGCATTATAAAAACAATTTTCAGGAAAACGTAGGGAATTCAGGAGCTGCTAAACATAACACTTTGATGTACAGTGGTACCTTGGGTTAAGAACTTAATTCGTTCCAGAGGTCCGTTCTTAACCTGAAACTATTCTTAACCTGAAGCACCACTTTAGCTAATGGGGCCTCCCGCTGCTGCCGCACCGCCGCTACACGATTTCTGTTCTCATCCTGAAGCAAAGTTCTTAACCCGAGGTACTATTTCTGGGTTAATGGACTCTGTAACCTGAAGTGTCTGTAACCTGAAGCGTATGTAACCTGAGGTACCACTGTACACATAATATAAGGGAACTGCCATTGCCATTTTCAACTAGATGGAAAAAAGGAAAACGCTATTAAGGTTCTTACACTACAATTCTTGGTTTGATCCCTCTATCTCAAACACACACAAAAGGAGATGCCACACAAATAGGGATAGGGAGCAAATTCACATTTAAAGGTGAACCTACTTAACCCACATTTTGAAACAAGATGGGAGCAGAAAGGAAGCCATCCTTTAAAATTCACATTTCTCTGAATTATGCAGTGCAGTTCTCCAGCCAAGTAATGTGTTCAAAAATGCACATGCTAGGGTTCAGTGTACCTAAAATTGCATGTACTACTGAAAACTGAATTTTAAAATGCATTGTTTTAATGCCATTTTCATGCCATGACAATCGTCTTCCAATGCTGGGGTAAGGAGCCACCATCGCTATCTGACCACAGTCTTTCTGTCTGTTCTCAGGGCCCCAAAGAGGAAGGTGCAGTTGAACAACATGTGGGAGATTTGAGGGGGGGAGCTTTTACTCTGACTTCTCCCTATTGTGCTGGTGACAATTGCCCCATCAAAGAATGAAGGGGATTTTCATCAGAATTGGAAGGAGGTACAAGGTGGAATGACTGAATGAGTTTGTATCATTACTGTAGATGGATGTTTAAGGATGAAGTTTTCACAGTGAAGAAAGGTTGCAGCATTTGAAACTTCTTAGTTTAGCCCCACCTAAAGGTAAAGGTAAAGGGACCCCTGACCATTAGGTCCAGTCGTGACCAACTCTGGGGTTGCGGCGCTCATCTCGCTTTATTGGCCGAGGGAGCCGGCGTACAGCTTCTGGGTCATGTGGCCAGCATGACTAAGCCGCTTCTGGTGAACCAGAGCAGCGCCAGAAACGCTGTTTACCTTCCCACTGGAGCAGTACCTATTTATCTACTTGCACTTTGACGTGCTTTCAAACTGCTAGGTTGGCAGGAGCTGGGACCGAGCAACGGGAGCTCACCCCGTTGCGGGGATTCGAACCACCAACCTTCTGATCGGCAAGTCCTAGGCTCAGTGGTTTAGACCACAGCACCACCCACATCCCTTAGCCCCACCTAAGCATCTCTAAAATCCTGATCCCTGCTTCCCCATGACATTTAATTCTTATTATTCAAAAAGTGAACTTCTATTCACGTGGAGGAAGCCTAAAAGGCCATTAACTGTTAATAACTCATTCTCAAATTGCCCCCGTGTGGGGTGTGTTGGGAACCCACGGGTTTAGAGAAAAGGGAAGTAAGAGGTGCATTGATAGAAGTTTATAAAATTATGCATGGCATGGAGGAAGTGGATAGAGGAAAGTTTTTCTCCCTCTCTCATAAAACTATGAATGAAAGGTGCATGATTGGGGGGTGTCTGTGTTTGAAAAAGAGAGGGGAGAAAGAAAAGGGGTGGTGGAGATGAAGAGAGCTGCCACCTATACTTTTGTGAGTTTGGCCCCTCTCACTACCAGAGATACCAGCATGCCCACTGCTAGTATGTGGCCTTAGGTCATATGTTTTAAAATGAAGCCAGCCCCCTAGTTAATAAAGGTTTTTTATCCTGCTCTAAAATAATCTGAAGTACTGGTACTTCTCTGTGACTGATTTCAATGCAGCATAGAGCCATTGCAAGACAGATCCTGTATTCGGTAAACACCACACTAATATGGTATTGGTATGGGATTTGGCCATGGCAAAGGTAGGAATTGAAGTCAGGACATCTGGTTCCTTTTAGCCTCAAAAGCATGCCTTCCTTGTATATCTCACTAATGTGCCTGAATGTCCCCAGAGATCTCTCATCCAAACACTGACCAAGCTCGACTTTACTTAGCTAATGAGATCTGACGAGATCATGGCTCAAGGCGGTATGGCTGCAAAAACCACATTAAACATGTCAATGCAGGTGATTCTCCTAGTATATAAATTGACAGTGGAAGCTTAGCTTGTATTGCATTGGAAATCTATTAACATTTGAAGTAGTTTGCTTGAATTAAAGGCCTTAACAGAATTACAATTACTTTCCTTCTCCTTTGACAACTTTGCAAGGTGCCTTTTTTGTGTGTGTCTCGCTCCTAGAAAGTTTTATAAACAAAAGGACAGTTTCCAAATGCTTGACGAAGACAAAGCCAATGCTATGTATTTGGATAGATAGCTTTTTTTAATGGATGATAATTCACACAAGAGTCATGCAGACATTTTGTAACACACCACCACACCATTTAGATTACACTTTTTTTGTTTAGTGAACACAACAAAATACCCAAGACGTGTGCTACATGTGATTCTCTGAACATTAAGAAGTATGAAGGAGGCTTCAGATAAGAATTAGCAAGGTTAAAAAATTATTATTTTCCTGGTTCAGAATATGAACCTTAGGAGCAGGATAAATATTATGAACTTTTGTGTTCATCTCTGGCTCAGATTGTAATCAGAAGAACTCCACCTTCTGTGTCTACCCCTACCCCACTTTTCCTGTTTTCTTGGAGTATAGTTCCCTTGGCACCCAATATCCCTGGTGACCATGAGAACTACATAGCCCATGCTCCTATTAGTCTTGGACAGTGCTGTGAAAGGTCATCAAAGTGTATCAATCCTGCAAAGGGAGATAAAATAGGCTATTACTGTAACACACCACAGCAACTGCGTCACACAGCCATTGAGTCTTTGCTGATGTGGCACTGAGAACCCAGTGGACATAACTGGGATGAACTTTCCTAGATCCTTCACCACTGTCTTTTAGACTCCAAGAGAAGTCAGTCAAGTTTGCTTCAGCATTTTTGAAATCTTCTCAACTTGAACTGCTCTTAAAATTATTTTACTGCTATCTTTATGCTTAAAACTGTTTTCATACACTTTATTCTATGTTACTAGTTTTATTGATTTTTAATATCTGTTTGGTAGGTATTTTACAGTGGAAATGTAATATATGATCTCAGTATAATTTAGTATATTTTTTAAGGAATACAGGGTGATCCTATCTGATCCTGTCAAGGAGACCACTAATTTCCCTTCTGTCATGTCCTGGTAAGTTTTTTTTGGGGGGGGGAGCAATGGGGAATATTAAAGAGATTCAGGATGCCCCCAAACCAGTTGTGTAGCATGGGGGGGGGCAGGGGTGGGTGCCTGAGTGCAAAATTGTTAGGGGTGCAAAATTTCAAAACTCAGTGCTACCTTAATACAGCTATGCGTTTCCATTGCTAGGCTTTGCTGAAAACTGCTTCTTCATGCAAATCAGGAAGTGACCTCTCCAGAGAAATCTCTGTGGCTGAGATCTACTGGGTGATTCAGAGGCCATTAGGCAGCTGAATGCACTTGCATATTCTGTCCATTTCCCTCCCTCCCTCTCTCCAAGCCCACCCTCTTCACAGCCCTGGGCACTGGCAACTCATGCTACATCACTGCCCCAGACTCCAAAGAGAGCTAAGTCTATAAACCTGGTGCTTATTTTCACCTTATTTTCTTATTTTCAAGGCCCACTCCATCACTAACAATGAATGTGTTCAGTGGCATTCTCTTCCTAATAGTATTCCCACTATCTGAGTGGTGGTCCATTTTTAGAAGGAAGGAAGGAAGGAAGGAAGGCCTAATGAGGTAGGGAACCCAAACAGCCCAATAAGGTCTGAGCATGTTAAGTGACCACAGAATAGAGTGTGGTCTACTGCTGGTGGGGGGGGGGAGAGAGACTGGAAACATTTTTTACATGCTTCAGTTATAAGCTACCTAGTGATACTCTAAGCCTGTTAAATAGACTTCATAAGTAAGATGCTTTCAACCTTCATATATTTCCACCTGCATTTACTGAAAGGGGACACACATTTTCAGAACTCTTGGAGAATTAGGCTGTTATACAAAATACAAAAATAGTTATTAGTGAAGGTAATACAAAAAGATGACTAAATGCAAACAATGTTATTGTCCCCTCAGCTTCTTCCTCACAAATTCCTCACAAAATAACAGTGTGATTATCGGTTGTATTGAAAAGCACTTCCTCAACAGCCAAATGTAATAACTTTTATTAGCAATTATGGTACACAAGTATAGTTGTTGAGAAGGAAATAAAGCAATGTATGCTTAGATGGTTCATTCAGCTTGAGAAGAATAGATATGCTAGAGAACAAAGTTATTGCAAACAACATTTTATTGGAAGATTTGTATGTGCATGTCATATATGTTTTGTGTTGTGTGTCATAAAACCCAACTGTTGCAGAAGATCAGGTCAGCTGCACCGTAAGAGCAAGTATTGTGCTCTAGATTGTTCTGAGCTTACAACAGATCCCTTGCTATGTTGAAGTCATCTATGCTGAAGTCATCTTGAAAACTGCATTTTAAAAGGTTTTGCCAATTTAAAAACAACAAACAGGAAGAACTCTTTTATCTAGGATATGCATGGTATCAAGCAACACAGAAACATGTTACTAGAATAATTATTTATTGGAGCAGTTTGACTTTTATTCCTCTGTCTAGTCTAAATTTCAGTCACAATATAAAGAGTAAGGCCATAGGGTCATTTCTGTCATTTACATTCTTGACCAACTGATACTAACTCACACACCAAGCCATATGGACAGTTGCTGAAGACTCGATTTGAACCGCAAGCAAAACATAATTTGGACTATTAGAAATACAAACATTTCCAGTCTCCTATTAACAGGCTCATATTCAGTCAAATGAATGTATAATCTATTATTCAGCATATTGAGAACCCAGTTAGCATTCCCTGAATATTGATTGCGTTTTTGACAAATGTTGTTTAAAATACATATGAAACTATTTCCAACTGGCTATTGGGAACCCTTCCAATATTGCTAGTTCCTTAAAAAACATGAATTATTGTATAGCATGACTGGCTCCAGTGGACAACAAAGCAGGCTGTTTGCTGGGGAACTGACAAAGAGCTTACAAACAGGTCACCACCCAAAGACAGATGCTATTAGCAGGGTTCACATGTTACATTCAATGAGTGTATAATCTTTGTGCCTCTGTACACAAAAAGTTGATCTGTACACTTGTACAGTTATTCACATGTAACACTCCATGAATGTATGGTCTCTGTCCACAATTGCTGAGCTGTACAAATCAACAGGTGTACACTCACTCTCTCACACACACTTGTTGTACATGTGCAGAAACAGCTTGTACCCTGTATTCAATGTAACATATAAACTAGCCTATTGTGCTTAGAAACTGATTCATCTTCATTCTACAGACAACTAATTTAATGACCCCCTGGTTTCTGTCAAACAAAGTGTTTTATGCCACAGGTTTTATGTATATAGAAAGCACTCCTCTAATCTGAGCTGATCAGAAAAGGGTGTTTTCCATGACATAATAACAGTGTTATAGCCAGAGGAGTATTTATTTCCCCCCACTTCCTTTGCAAAAGTCAATCATGCCTACCAAGAAGCCTGATTGATTATGCAAAGTCCACCGATGCTAGATGGCCACTGAAGGGGAGAATGTTAATTATCTAACATTTTAGTAGGGAGATCAAGAATCTAACCTTTAGAAAAGGACTATCAGGGAGGCCTCAAGGGAATAGTAATCAAATATTGAGAATTCTACCCTACTATTCGCTAGTTCAGATCCAGCCTCCTGGGACCCAAAGTTATTATCGCCTGGCAGGTTTTCCATAAACTTATATCAAAGGGATTGATGGTACCAGTCCCGTTTGCAAGGGATACATGCCCTCATCGTAACCTAGTACAAATACCAAAAGACTGAAAGGGCATAGCAATCACAGTACTCTCTTTTCCATACAGATCAAGATCAAAAGAGAGAAGGATGTTTTGGGTGTGCAGAGAACTTTCAGCAACTTTCCCATGTACATCGAAATTAGATTTTCCTTTACTATAATGGGTACTTTGGTTAGCTAAAAGCAAAAACTAAGTTTTGGGGAGCATTTGTGAATGATTCTTTAATGATAGAAAAGTACAGAGAGAGTGCCCTTTGCATTGCATTGCCTTTGTTTTAGTTGCTCTCGTGATCATAGTCTTGGGCAGACCCTTCAGTCAAAGAAAACTTGAATGTTCTCACTTTAAAATGTCAACTCATGTTCAATTGGTGTTTTATGGAATTGCTCTGATTTCAGGACCGTATGCTTGGGAGGATATGTTACTGTTTTGAAGACTGCTGCCAGAGTCAATTAGAATATAGGTCAGTAACTAGAAGGGGACAGTCCTAAGAAGCAGAAATATATGCTAGGGTCAGAGGTAAACAATGGTCAAATTTAATGGCCATTCTGGATTTCCAGGACTCCTAATCTCCATAGAACCCAAAGCTGTCAAAAGTCGTTCATGCTGCTTGACTGGTCGGAATCAGGAGTCATCCAGAAGGCTAAAGGGTTCATCAGTATAACAGCAGATATAGATAAAGGTATAGATACAGGTATGGATATAATGTTTTTCACTAATAATATTATACTTCTTGGGTGATAACCAAAGGAGCAGATGCATCTGACATAAAGAAGTACACCAATATTACATATGCGAATAATTTAACAAATGTAAGTGCAAATCTTTGATAAAGTTACTGCATTCCTGTGTTTATTAACAGAAAAGAACACTAAAATGCTGGTGAATTTTCATAAGCATTTTTCTTAAACAGCATATTGCTTCAGAAATGTGGAGAACCAAATTTAAGACTGGAAAAATAAGCAAACTGAGAAACCACAAATTGATAGATCTTTCCAGCCATTATGCTTTTTGGAAATGGGTTGTCTGCATTATGATAGACAGATAGGCAGATGCTTATTTCTGTAAACTTCCAAGATTCCCCCAACATGTTGATAATCCCTTTTGTTTCTTTGTAATCCTACACTGTCTACAAATCTGTTGGCACCACTATCGGACTATTTTAAGCAGTGAGTCTTTATACTTGAGA